GAATAACCTTATAGCTCGTAAATGATTACAATGTTTAGGTTTCTACTAAATAAAACTAGTGCACTCTCAGCATGATTCTTCTTGCTGTTAGACACAATAGGTCCTTTAAGCTATAACCCTACGGGGTATACTAAAACGGGGTATACTAAATAATGTCTTCTTGACCATGGATATGGTTGTTAACAGGATCGGGTTTATGTTCATTATAATAATACTAGTTTCATTAGAGTCGATTTTTCTAATATCCGGCATCTTTTTTCTCATTTCTTTTCATACATAAGATATGAGTGTCAATTTTTGTTATCGTGTGTACTTGCTTAAAAGTAGCAAAAAAATCCTCAACACAAAGGACATCGCAGGCTCACGCAATATACAACTGTATCAATAGTTTCAATATTAAACAGTCTTTTCTTCTTTATGAAACTTCGCAGCCAAATGGAAGAAAAATACATTTACTTTCAGCCTAAGAGTGTTCAGTTTCCATATAGCAACTAATGTATCACCCATCAACAAGCATGAACACTAGTACATAAAATTAATGCAGGTATGATACCAATAGAAAAACCTAAAAAAATATCTTGATACAATATTCCAGAGCTTGTGTTTCTTACCATGACAAAAAGCACTCCCAAAAGCAGTTAAAGGTTCAGGGGTTCCTGTGTCATCCGATTAGTTGTCATCACTTAAATATTTGTATTTTATCAGAAAAAAGTGCAGTTCGAAAACTTGGTTCAACAAATCTCGATTTATGAAAATTCTTATTACGCTAAGCTTATTAATTCAATTTCAAGATGATTAAATGCTTCTGACAAAAGGCCCTTTAAAATTTTGGTTAAACATAACTTTTAATAAAAAAAAATTTAAGAATTGTAAATTTTATTTATAGATGATAAATGATAAAAGAAAGTTAAAAAAAAAAAGAAAGAAAGAAAAATATTTAGAAATTATAATGATAAGTTAATTAACGATAGCTGAAATTAAATAAAGTAAATCTCGTAGATTGATTTATCTTCCAAGGTATATTCAGATAAATATGGAAGGTTAGACAAAAACGTTTTTTTTTTTAATGGTTTGTTTGCCAATTACTGGTTTGATTCTGTTATTTCACACTTTAAACAAAAACAATTTCCCTTTGCAAATGGTAACCTGATTCTGTACCAGACAAAATTGGCTTCTATTCATTCAAAGCATAAGCTGAAAGTGATAAACAAGCGTTTGACCAATTGTTCGTAAAAAGTAAATACTAATATCAAATGGTGTTTGCTTAAAAAATTAAATGTTATTAAAAGAGTTCAAAATCTTAAAGTTAACACACATTACACACAGATAAAATTGCTCTTTTTGCTAGCTCTTCATCCCCACTTAAAATGTATGTCCTTCCAAGGTGAGACAGACAACAAAAAAATTGATTTCTAATTACAGGATAAATTACGGAATTGGCAACTAGACTATTTTGTATTTTTTGTAATTTGTATGATTTTATAAATATGATTACAGCGAACTCCAAGAAATGTCCTGATGAGGAATTAAAATGTAAGAATGGAATACACTGTGTTCATCCAAAGAACCTATGTAATGGTATTGTTGACTGTCCAGATAAGTCAGATGAAAACTATTCGAGGTAAATCGTTAACGTTTCTTACCAGAAAAGTGCATATTTAACTATAAACTTGTGTGTATTGATCCTATATTTCCCAAACCAGACAGTTTGGATTTACATATAATATCGAATCTTTTTCTTTTTAACTCCTTTATAACTTTCCCAACTTAAAATATTGAACTTGTGTTTGGTGTGTGTACCTTGCAGTATCATTGGAAGTTTGTTTTGACATTTGACGTGTGTTACTTTTAAATCAGAATTTTGTCAAGGTTGATATTTTTCTTTATTTAAAAGTATTTATTTAGTACATTTGAGCAACGTTCTCTTCATTATGTACTTATTTGATGTACTCTGCTTCTTTAACGAGTTTCAACTCAGCTCCATGGAACTTCAGATATTTTTTATATCAAGATCAATCATTCGGAAATTGACCAATATGAATAAAATGGCAGTTTATGGTCTGTTATTTAATTTTCATGGTGTGATAGTGACGTTCAAATTGACCTGTATGTGTTGTATTAGTAAGATAATGTTATCTTTCTAATTAAACAGTAACATTTACATTTAAACATTGGATTAGGGACTTTCCGTTTTGACTTTTCCTCGGAGTTCGGAATTTCTGATATTTTACTTTTGACACGATATTGAATGATTTTAAGAATTCTCAATTTTGGGTATTTCAGTGGCAAGTTATTGGTTTTATTCATACAATTACTTTCTCATTAATGATTTTAGTCGGTTATAGTATGTGAAGTTTAAATTCAAAGAAATTTTTGGGAAATCGTCACATTTGCTTTCTATATCTTTGTATTCTATATGCATTTTGAAAAAAAGAGAACGTCAAAAAGGCTAAAAATACGCGTCACATCGTGACGGCTATATCCATATCCGTGCTTTGATACGACGCGTATTTTTTATTGTCTGATTCTTTTTGGAGTCAACGGATTCACAACATTAATCCTTTAAATCTCAATATTTTCATGGTGCATGCAAAATTTAATGTACATCCATGTGATCGCATTTACGTGTCGTTTTTATGCGTTATACATGATAACCTCACACGGACAGAATGCACATTTTTGAAAAAGAAAATCTCACATTGCCTACATGAAAAAAACAATCAATGTAGGGAAAGTCACCGAAGAGACCAGGCTTACAATTTGATACGCCAGACGACGCACATTTCATCTAGTAATGAAAAGTAAAAATAACAAAAATACCAATCTCCAGGGAAAATTCAAAACGGAAAGTCCCTTATCAAATGGCAAAATCAAAAGCTCAAACACCTCAAATGAATGGAAACCAACTGTCATATGTCTGACTCGGTACAGGCATTTCCTTGTGTAGAAAATGGCGAATAAAACCTGGTTTTATAGCTAGCTTAACCTTTCACTAGTTTAACAGTCGCATATAATTCCATTATATAAACAACAATGTGTGAGCAAATCAAACAGGCATAATAGGTGAGCACATAAAAAAAAATAGGTTACAGCAGTCAACGTTGTGTTATTATCTTAATCACTATATGATATCATAATGACTCATTGGTGGTGTTCGAATCAAAACAGTTTGAATGCCAAAATCCATAACGCAACTGATTGTACAACTGTATGTCGTGTGTTATAAAATTTTTCCATTCTTGACCATACTATTATTCATTCAAAACGCTCTGCAAGCTTCGCCTTTTAAATTAGACAATTTGACTAAAGACATGATGTATATAACTAGATGCGCTGGTAGAACGTATATGTTATATCGCAATAGAGAGGGCATTAGTTATAATCAAAGGGTAAAAAAATGTGTATTTCTCAATGTTTCACAAATATTTCAAACAATACCATTTTGTCTTTGCAAGTCTGATTATGGATTAAAGCTTATGTTTTGGATTTAAGGTAGATGTGCGAGTCTGTCTTTTTAAAACTTGGCCTTGTTCATAAACCCACGGCGGCGTGCCGTAGGATGACAATGTAACTCCACACTGCTGCTCCGATAACGGTTCAGGAACATATTTATCGAATTTATGCGAAATCAATTGTGGTCGAAAACATCACCAGAAGTGCTTTATTTACTTTCGGGGAAATTTTGATTTCTGAATTATGCCACGACACTAGAATTTGCTTTTTAAATGAATTGATATATGATGTCACCATGGAAATCTACAGATCACATCACCACAAGTCAGAATATGGTTCGTTTATGTCAATGTGAAAGTTCTGTGCAAGACTAAACTTTAAATCACTAAGCATAGAGACGCTTATATTCATTTAAAGATGCCTCTTATTAAAACATAAATAGTTTCCTTCGTCACTAAAGATTAAAGAAAAGTTATTCACTTTATTCCACAAAACACTGACACAAAACAAATCATGCTCATGTATCCAATAATCATCAAATAACTCTCTTATGGAGTTAAGTATCATTAGATATTTTCAAAGGCATAATTTTAACTAGATTGAAACGCATCTATCACATCGAACTTTAGATAAAGTATACACCAGATATAGTTACTTCCTCTTCACATCTTGACTTGGAGCCAGATAAAAGCCGAAAAATACCAAAGGGACATTCAAACTCATTAGTCGAAAACAAAACTGACAATGCCACGGCAAAAAACGATAAACGACCAAAAGACAAACAACAGTAACCAAAACACTACATAGAAAACCAAAGACTGAGCAACACGAACCCCACCAAAACCCGGGAGTAATCTAAGGTGCTCTGAAAGAGTAAACAGATATTGCTTCACCTGCAGCTTCGGTCGTATGTCTCATGTAAGCTGATGATAGTTAAAATTCGATAGGTCACGTGATGGCGTCCGTAAAAATTTGATTGGATGATTTCAACTTTACCACTTGAACTCTTAGTTTAACAGCTTATTTGTAAGCAGAAACCCTCTTATAAGGACATCATGATAGGGAATGCAAGCTCTGGGATATCGTTCTCCATATGCAAGCGCTTCTGGAATGTAATAAGTCCAATTTGACAATGTCACAATGAAGATAGGAAATGAGAATTGGATCGTAGTTATGATAAGTGGAACATTTCCGTGGTCGTCTGTTATACAGATTTTCGATAACATCAACCATATCTATTTTTCGGTTAAGTTAGGTGTTGGTTCTTAGTATGGTTTGTTGTACTTTACATCATTTTTTGAATCCCTGTTAACCTGTTTTTTTTATCTTATTCAAGTTCAAGGAATCCAACATATGTTGGATTGTTGATGTATTTACATGAGGAGATACGAATGGCAGACAACCAAGACTTCGTGACATACAATAGGTATCAATCCATGTGAATCGCCTAGTTCTTTGATTTTGTTTTCATGTCATAGTCAGATAAATTATAGAAACAAATCGAATAAAATTAAGAAAAAAGGATATTGTAAAAACATAACTGCAAATATTAGCATATAAAAGTTTATTGCTGTTATATTTACATTGTACTTTATATTTAAAATAAAGATTATAAAACCGTATCGAGTGAGATACGATATATATCCACTCGAGACAATTATATTTTCGAATTATCAACGCGAGGCTCGCCGATAGTTTTAAATATTTAAAGCTTAACCTTCGAGAGTGGATAAATATCGTATTGCACGATATATGTTGGTGGAATCTGTTTCTATAACGATTTTTAAAGGATATGCAGAAAAACTCAATCCGTCTTTCCAAATGATCTGCAAAAAGATGTGTTCTTTCTGTGTGATATCATCAGGCATGGAAGCCTTTTTTCATGACGTCACAATAGGAAATTCAGAGGAAAGCAAGAAAATTTGACGTCATAATCGAAATTTTCCAATGAAGAACTGAGATCAAACGAATCACACGTTGTTTAAATTTAAAAAAAAAAAAACAATAGGTCAGGAAAATGATAAATCTGGTCAGAATTAGAAAAAAAAATATTTATAGCACATATAAAAAAGCAAAATATATAAATATGATAAAAAATGCCAAATCGGGACAATATAATTCGATTTAAAGGACTCGACCATTAAATCGCGTTATCAGAGGAAGACCAGCAATAGTTCATTAGCGGGTCAAAGCAGACGCGCATGTCTAAATTTATTACACTACATATAAATTAACTGTTCTTGCACTCCTCATCACAAATTTTGCAAACGCTATCTTCAAGGATTTATATTGATTAAAGGTCAGATTATTGAGTTTATTTAGTATAAACATGATTACTTGATACCCACCCAGCCTCTCCCTTTATTTTCGATACTGCTGTTTTGTTTTTATTTTACAGATTTATGTGTGTTGTCTGTACATATACTTCAACTTTAAAGAAAACCTGTCACGGCTTCTGGATCTGTTTGTGTTTATGTAAACACAAATAACCGAACTATGACCTCCATATGGTGAAGTGATAATGTATTGACAATAATAATGCACTAATCAAAGATGATGTTATGACCGTCTGTTGCCAGATGTCATGGACGGCGGACTTTATAGGCTGCACCAGTACCGATAAACTGGATTTATTATTATTTAATTTAGAACATTAATCCATTTAATCTTCATTTACACTTCAAACGTAGTTTCTCATGTTGATTTGGACATCTGTTGCCAGGGTTCAATTCAGCACACTATTAATTCATAATTTCACTACATTTTAGTTTTATTTCAATTTTAACTATCTATTCTATTTTAAAGATTTGATTTGCAATTTTAATTCACGGTTACCCAAAGACCCTTTGTTCATGGGTTGGTAACCGACAGAAGCCGTGATCTTACTTCGCCAATAAATATATATTATTCTTAACATGTGTTATCTCTTATAATTGTATGATAATGAAAATATATGTAACTTTGAAATAATTTTGCAAAACCAAATTTCTAGCGATTATAATGGTATAGCTAATTAAAAGCAGCATATAATAATATCTATTGTGTCTGTATATAGACTTATTTTCGAAACGCTTCATTAAAAAAACTGCAAAGGTGCATTGAACAGTTATCATATTATAATATATATGTTTTGAAGCTTATTATGAATTCATATATTTTTAATCACATAACATTTTATAGGACGTTCCAATAAATTGCATCCTTGTACATTTGATTGACAGCTTATTCACGTTGTTTTATTTAACAGCTGTATATGTAGCAGGATAGCATAATTAATCAATGCAATACGAGAAGGAAGACAAGTAACATGTTTTCAAAATGTACACCATTCCCATTTTAAATGTTCATATTTGCATATAAAGGTGATATATCGTGTATCTCCATTGGCTCTGAAATTGACAATGAAAAGATAAAATACGATAAAATAAAATAACGATAAAGAATGATATAAGAATGAATCTTCCATAAACTGCTAACATCAATAAGAACTACAAAATGAAGAATTATTTTAACATGTCACAATACCAGAAATACTGTTTTCAATTTTTGTAACTTGAATAATTTAAAACCATTTTAACTCAACATTGCGACAGAATATATGCCTATCGAATATATGTACTAGTATCTAATTTATTATCCATTTGTCGTTACCAACGTCACCCTTTCCTGTTTTCGCTTACGACTTATAAATGAATTATCATATATCTGTAATAACATGTACGACATAAACTACTATTAGAACAAGGACGGAGAACCCCAACGGTGTACATGATGCTTTTGGTCGGGTTCATATTGCTCAACTGTGACATTATCTCTGCAATGTTTTGTGGAATGTAACAAGACTTTTCTTTGATTTTTTTGTGCTTTCTGTCTTTCTTCGATATAAGAACTTGATTGTTTATTTCAACTACCAAAGAAAACATTGAACATTAGTCTATTCATGTTATTGGAAATTCTTCAAGTATAAAACAAATTGAATATACATGTTGATTTCCATAACAAACTAACACATTTACATTTTGTGAAGTTAATGTCGGTAGTAATGAAAGTGAACTAGCAAAATCTCCTTTAAGGACATGTAGTATTAAATTGGAAAGTTTTTATTTCTTATTTCTTAACAACAACAATAAAAAGACAGTAGAATAATCTAGAACTATTTGTTAATCTACTTCTAAGACTATACTGCCATTAATTTGTTGTCGGCTCGATATAGCCCATACATAATTTTCATGAATCCTCCTTTATTTCTTGCAATATAAAACCAATTGATCAGATCATTTGACCATATTGTATCAAAAGATAAGAGAATCCATGTAAGAAACCTGGATGAAACTCGATAAATGGTTAACAATTCATTTATTTTCAGGACGAGAACAAATTGACAATACATTCAATAGGTTCATGTGAACTATGCAAATTACGTCAATTAGTATTAATTGTTTGAAAGTCTTTTTGGTATCTTTCCCCTCTCTTTTAGATTGCCAATGTTAATGAGGGGATGTTGGATTAGGACGATGTTTAATTGCTACAGGTCATCTAGAGACCCTTCATCGAGTACATGACATCTAGTTGTTTACGAACCTTCATCATGGCTCTTTCAGGGATGCCATTGGGTAATTCATGTTATTTAATAGTTTCCCTATTTTTCGAAGAATACACTTTATATTAAAAACAGAGTTAGCTATAGCAAAAGCAGCTTTTCATGACTACAGGTCTTAATCAAATAAATGAAAATAGAGATCAGTCCCCGAGGGTATCATCAGCATAGTAGTCAGTACTTCGGTACTGACATGATTTATAACAAACTTTTCTAAAATTGCCCGTTTATAAATTTTGAAATTATAAAGAAACTAAGGTTTCAACTCCCTCAGGCAAAGTTGATCTTAGATGGATTTGGCTATTTGTTTTAGGTATTTTTGTCATATAGCTCTGCAACTGTTTCGGTACTTATACATCCCTCGGATTTCAAATGTTTGGCTTTGAGCGTTCCTGATGAAGGTAAATCCAGAAAAGAGCTTCGGACGCATGAAATTATTAAACGTGTTGTTTTCAATTTTTTATGACAGATGTGGATAGATGATAACCAATCCTTAAAATCACAAATCCCTCATTAAAACAAAATGAAAGTGAGTTCATACCTTTCTTGTTTTTGCAGACATTTTGATAAATTTGTCCGTCGTTTATTCTTCCAACTTCTTCATAAGTATTTGAGCTTTAAAAAAATTAAACGCATCATTTATAAAATCTCGATTTGGATATTTTTTTAACAATGTTCAAGTAAAATTAATTACATTAAAAAAGTGAAACGTATGCTTTAATTTGCATGATATATTGAAAGTTAACTTGAATAAGACTATCAAAATCAATTTCGAAACATAATAACTTGCTAAAATTATATTATATGAATCGTATGCGTTTTATAAATTGTCTTTACCATCTATTCTGGAAAAAAAAGCTTAAAAATTTAGTTTTTCTGAATCTTGACCATTTTTAAAAGTAATAATTTTAATAGATTTTTTCTATGAAAAGATATAAATAATAATGTTGCATGAGTTTCCTCTTTCTTTAACTAAATTGGCAACTGTCTGTTTCTTACAGTTTAATATCATTGCTTCTGTTAGGTAGAGTCGTTTTTTTTCTTTCATGCTATCTTCAATCAAAACAGTTTATATTTATTATAAATATATACTTTTTTATCATGTTTATATAGTAAACGTTCTCTAATGTATAAGTAGTTGACAATGGACATTAAGCGAACAACAATCAGTCGATAAAAAAAAACGTTTTCGTCATATTAGAGTGTTTGTTCTTGTTCATATTATGAAATTTTATATTTTTACACGTTGAATACTCTTTTGTATATATGTGTAATAGATGTTTGTGTATGATCAAAAGGGTCTTTTTTTTTAAATTCAAACGTATTTATCAATTATACTAGTAAACTACTTTTGTTTTGGTATCGTTTGAAAATATTATCATAATTACCTATTTGCTTGCATGCCGTCAGGATTACTGTCTGTAAATAGTAATTGATATAAGCATTAAGTTAGTGATTAATTGATTGGAATGGACAATGGTACAAATAACGTGGAAATTAAGGTGATCAGGAAAATAATTTAATATGAAACAGGCGTTACCTGTAAAAGGAGACGAAGTCTGTATACATTTTTTTTAAAATTCTAGTATATTTCAACCTCAGAATCTGTTAAAAAGAAACGGAAATACGAAAACGTTTCTGACGTTGGTCCTATTGTTAGGAAATTTTGTTGTGACGTCATCAATGTAATCAAAGAAACGCTATCATCAGGTAACTTTTTTTTTCATATAAAAAAATAATTAAAATGAAATTGTTATTGTGCTTCTTCCTATATTTATATTTTACTCAAAATCTCATTACAAACGAGACCGGAAGAAAAAAAGAAATTTGCAGATGCGGAAAACTAAACAAAAAGTCTGATTTCTTTTTTTTTTTTTTTTTTTCTACCGTAATTTGGGAATTCGTCCAAATATTAATGTTTCGCATAACGATTTTTAAACAGAGTTACGACTATTGCGATTTCACAATCGAAGTGAACCTGTTTTGGTAATCGATATAAAATTTGCACCAGTTGTATAATCTTCGAGATTTAAGTAGTGAACTTCGATCGTAGATGTGAAGATTAATTTCGAAAAGATAAAAAATAGACTTAAGTATGGTATCTTTTTAAGTTTGATTTTTCCTTCTTTTTTTTTTTTTGGCATGAGGGGGTATGCAAAGATTTTGCATATTTTGTATATATTTTGCATGCTTGATTGTATTTTTTTTTAAATCAAAGAGTCAATATTTATTTATAGAGACATTTATAAAAATACTTATCCATATTAGTGACTATTATCTTGTCAGATGAAAATGATGTTGGAATTTACAAACATTGTCAATGATCTGATGATCAAATTGTTATTCAAATGAGATAGACTTTACGTGTAACGGTATCTAAAATATGCATTATGTTCTTTATAATGCCATATCAAACTAAAGTACACATATTTGAAACAACCCTTTTCTACATTGGCTAGAGATATAGGGGGAGGGTTGAGATCTCATAAACATGTTTAACCCCGCCGCATTTTTGCGCCTGTCCCAAGTCAGGAGCCTCTAGCCTTTGTTAGTCTTGTATTATTTTTAATTTTAGTTTCTTGTGTACAATTTGGAGTTTAGTATGGCGTTCATTTTCACTGAACTAGTATATATATTTTTTTAGGGGCCAGCTGAAGGACGCCTCCGGGTGCAGGAATTTCTCGCTGCATTGAAGACCTGTTGGTGACCTTCTGCTGTTGTCTGTTCTATGGTCGGGTTGTTGTCTCTTTGACACATTCCCCATTTCCATTCTCAATTTTATTTGCACAGCCTATTAGAATAAGAAAAACTTTTGACTACTTTCTTGGGAATAAAGTTGATTCAGCAGTGTAGTTCGTTTGACAAGATAAATATGAAGTTATTATACTTTTAAGTAAAGGGAAATGTTAACATCTAAAGACATTGAAAATATTTACCAGTTTATTTTGTTATGATCTTTCAGGTTTCACTCTAATGATTTCCCAGATAACTTAATAAGTGTGTATAACCTTCTGTATTTAATGTGTTCCGTTTGTTTTTCTTATTAACAGGTTTACGCCGTTCTGATTATTTTGGACATCTTGTCTTTTCAGCTATTTTTTTTATCATATCCCCTTACGTGAGTAGATTACTTGGAACCGATAGTTCGTCTGTCGTGTTATATTCTGAACTTTCACAGCTGTAGTTTTGTGAATTGGAGCCAGGCGAGCGAATACGTATCGATTATAACTTACCCATTCTTTTTGTTTGGAGTTCACTATAATCATGTTCATCGTTATTTGTCCTTTGCCGACTACAAAACCAATTATCAACCAAAATCAGACATGGAATTAGTATTCATGATTAGATTATTAAAAATGATTCGGTAAAATTAAATTATACCTTTGGTCGCAACAGTTTTCATATTAAAAGCGTGTATTGACAGTATTAATAAACATATTCGTCAATAGCAAAATAGTATGAATATTCTTTTTCAGGTACTGTACAAACTCTTTCAAATTAAACAAAACAAGTAAGAGAACTTAAATTATCATTGAAAGATGTGTGTAGCATTTGCGTTAATAGTATCCTGACAGTACGGAAAAAATCTCGGTTCGCTATTTGATAAGGGACTTTCCGTTTTGAATTTTCCTTGAGTTCGATATTTTTGTTATTTTACTTCTTGCTTCAAAAGACTTTTTTATGCACACGATATTGATGTGTTTGTGCTTTTGATTTTGCCATTTGATTAGGGACTTTCTGTTTTGAATTTTCCTCGGAGTTCAGTAATTTTGTGATTTAACTTTTTGATATACTTATATATATATATGGCAAACACGCAAGTGATGGTATAGTTACTGCGTCCATGCACATTAATCACATGGTAGACACTGTAATGTACATATAACTATTTGAATTTCTAGCTGTTACTGTTTGGCTTCAATTCAACGAAGCATTGAACTTGACTGCGTCCATCGGTCAATATACCTTCAACGGTCATGTATTGATCTGATCAAAGTTTTTGAGTTGTACATTATTGCAAATCATTAATAGTAATTTATTATGAGTACATGTAGTCTCCGCATCGCAAGATCAAAACAATTGAAGAAGCTAAATAGCATGAATAGGGACACAATCTGGTAGAAAACAACAACAAAAAAACAACGCATAACATTTAAAAATATTTAATGCAGTGAGGAATACTATCTTCGTAAGTAAACATCTGTCTACACTATAGACAAAGTACTTTACATTGCTCAGAGCTTGGAATAAATCTTAAAGATATTAAAAAACGTCTGTTTGTCAGCAGCATGAAAAACAAGTTTTAAAACAAGTGACAACGCAACATGCAAAAAAACTAGAGGCTCTAAAGAGTCCGTGTCGCTCACTTAGGTCTATGAGCATCTTCAATATTGGACTATTGTCAACATTTTGGACTAGAATAGAATTCATGAAAAAAGATCTTTTTTGTCGATCTTGTATTGCTGATAAATTTTATTCTGTTTAAAGTTTCTCTCTATTTTCTTTAGTTTTTGCCCAAATACAAAATAATTGGTAAAAAAAATATCAATTAGGGCAATCACTCCTATAAAGAGTGAACCAAAAATTTCATCAAAATTTTACTTTTTTGTAGATCTTGTCTTGCTGATTATTTTCGCTATTTAAAGTGTCTATCTATCTTTTATAGTTTTCAAGATAGTAGGCAAAAAGCGTAAAATATTGGTAAAATCGTCATTAAAGAGCAAGTACTCCTACAAGGAGTCAACTGATGATATCGGCTATTTGAATTATTAGTAGATCAAGTCTTGCTGATTATTTTTGCTTAATTATGTTTCTATCTATCTATTATATTTTTTCAGATATTAGACAAAAACACAAAAAAAAAATGGTAAATTCATTATCAAAGGGCAATAACTCCAATAAAGGGTAGTTAGATGATTTTAAAACTGTTAACTTATTTTTAGATCTTGTTTTGCTGATCACTTTTGTTTACTAGTATTAAGATTCTATCTATCTATAATAGCTTTTTCAAACATTAGGCAGAAACGCAAAAAAAATGATAAAACTCGTCATTAAAGGGCAATAATTACAATAAGGTGCCTTATGATGATGTCGACGATGTGGACTTATTTGTAGATCTTGTATTGTTGATCACATTTACTTAATTAAGTTTCTATCAATCTATAATTATAGTATTTTTGTTTCAAATATAAGGCAAGCATTTAAGGGCAATAACCCATATAAGAAATCTTCTGACAGTTTTGAAGTAAATAGACAATATGTAGATCTCATCATACTGAACGTTTGTGCCTTGTAAGATGTTGTTCTATTTTTAGCTGTATCGGCCATGCTTGATGGCAAGCAGGGTCATCGGACACATTTGTTAAACTAAATATACTAATGATGATTGTGGCCAAGTTTGGTAAAATTTGGCCCAGCAGTTTGAGTGGAGAACCTTTTTGTAAAAGTTAATGACGAGTGATGAGAAAAGCTTAAGCATGTAACTACCGATTATAAATTCAAAATAATAAATATGCTGATTAGAAATTATGCAATATATACAATTACATCGGCGTCTGAACATGTACTTGGAGAAAATTGCACATAACGATGTCAAACATAGTGTATGAAAACATCATTTAATGCACTTCTAGAAAGAGTATTTAATTGCTATATATTTGATTTATTAGTTTCTACATACCTTGTACCAGGTTGGGTTGATTGATACAGTTTGGTGTTTTCTGAAATCAGAAAACAAATTTGAAAGGTAATTATGTTTAGCCTTATGGCTCGATAAAAAACTTGATTTCTCATAAATAGTTTTCAACCATATAAAATTAGAGAACAGATAAAATTTTTGTTCAGGAAAAGAACCAGCATATAAAATATATTTTAAGTTGAAGGTGACACAAGAAAAAAATTTATATTCATAACATTATGGAATTTATACACAAGCAAAATGGTTTCTCTCTCTGTCAACTTCATAACATAGTCTTTACAATAACAAAATATGATTAATTCTGATAGTTTGCTATCTCTGACAGGAATGATACCATTTAAAGCAGTAGAAATGATCTGTCAAAATAGCATATCAATAGAATGTTGTATCATACGCCCTTACTTATTCAAACAAACAAAATTATGCAAAATGAGAAAAAAGTATAACTAGAGAAGATGAAAGAAAATACTATAAAATAATTTATTGTGCTTTTATATCTTTTGAGCGGTTTTACCTTTTTTATTTTTCATCCGCCTCCTCTTCAAAACAAAAATTACAACACTTGCGACTAGTAATATGAATATTGATGTTCCTATGGCTGCAGCAACACTCGTGACCAAAGAATTGTTCGATTGACTGTTAAATAAACCTGAAAGATTGATGTATTCGTTGATGCTTTTGATGTAACATATTTCACTCACTACCTTTAGCCGACAAAATATAGTTTTGCAACTCTAATACATAAGATATGACAATTTATAGCATATAAGATATGACAATTTATAGCATACTCTAACGAGTCAATGCCAATGGTTTTTCTATGCTATTTTCTTACACCAAGAGAATTTGAGCGCTTACAAATATTTGTTATCCCGTCTGTATGTGCCTTTTCCAGAGTGGGGGTTGGTGTTTTTCTTTCATTTATTGCTGTTTTATAAATCATGCTACTTGATTTTTATTAATTTTTTCACATTTAAAAGACAAACAAACAAACAACAATACACAAAACAACATAGAAAACCAAAGACTGAGCAACACAAACCCCACCAAAAACTGAGAGTGATCTCAGGTGTTCCGGAAGGGTGAGCAGATCCTGCTCCACATGTGGCACCCGTCGTGTTGCTACTCTAAATAAAAACCCGGTGATATGTCTCATTCGGTAGGTCACGTTCACGGAAAAGGGGACGAGATTGTAGTTACGACAATTAGAACATATTCGTCATCATCTGTGAAACAAATATTCCATAACGGTCAACCAACTCATGATGGCATCTGTAAAACTTACGTAGGGATGATTTCAACTTCACCACTTGGAACTCTTGGTTTAATAGCTTCCTTTTTTGTTGTAAAGTTTTTTTTTCAACCGACCCTCATTGTCAATTTCTAGATGTAAGTTAAAATAGGTGGCAGACTTAACTGTATCTGAAGTATCCTTTATCTCAAGTTCGATTGGATAGATGCGTGCAATAGTCACCAAGTTTTGAATTATTTAGTGAGAGAACATCATCTATATAACGGAAAGTAAAGTTAATACTGCTAACTTCTTTTCTTTCTTCATAAGAAGTTCCTGTATAAAGTTAGCCTCATATGAATAAAGAATCAAGTCGGCAAGAAGAGTTCGTTCCCATAGGAATGCCGATTGTTTGTTGAAAAACACGTCCCCCAAACGTAACAAATATGTTGTCAAACAAGAAATCAAGCATCTTGATAATTTCAGTTTCAGAGAATTTTGTGTTTATTACAAACTACGATTTATTCTTCCCTTAGACAAGAAACGTGTATCTTCGTAAGCCTTTTTTTATGAAATAAAGCATGACTAATTCTTTCATTTTGTCTTTTAGTTTGGAATAGGGAATACTTGTGTAAAGTGTAGACGAGTCAAGTGTTTTAATTCTATTGCAAGATGAAAAATTTGGAATTTTTTAGTATCTACATCTGATTCACGCCACCTCTAGAATAGGTAGTTTTACAATTACTTATAGCCCGGCTTTGATTGCTGATAAAATTGATGTTAATAATTTAGATAGAGATTTTGTGTTGTACTTGAAAGACCCGGCAATATAACGTTGTTTGTAAGGACACTTATGTAGCCGGATTATATATGAATGGGGAACTAGCACAGGTGCAATCAGGAGGTTTAGACTTGAAATCGTCAATGTTGAGATCCTGCAAAAAGCGTTTGTAATTGAAAATTTTAGTGTTTTAGTATAGGTATAAGAAATGATAGGTACAGACTGATCTTTAAAACAGGGAGGTATTTTCGATTGAACTGATTTATGATGAAGGATATTGCTCAAGTTAGTGGTATCGAGACCTTTGTTGGCGAAGGAAAGTTTCTCCTTCTCATTTTTTCCAATGCAAACTGGTTTCAAAAGTCTGTGACTTGTAGTTAAAAATGATAAAAGATGCATATTGATATTACACGAATAGTTTACTGTAATTCATTAAGTTAATGGTTTTTAGAAAATACAAGATACAAAATTTACAAACTTTTATAAGTCTTTTTTTGAAAATCATCCATGTTTTGATATAGCAAACCCAATCTAATTATTTGAATTAAAAAAGATACAAATAGGAGATGCACTATTGCATAGTTTAGGAAGGGTTCCCTTAAAGTGCTATTATAAATAGATTTATGAGGATCTGTCCATGTTTGATATAAGAAACTGTATGAAAAAAGTCTCCGCATGCCGATATTCTATTTAGCTTTTATTGTAATCAGAAGAAATGAGGAATTCACATTCATTCAGATGTTCGAATAAACACACAACAATACATCTCTGCTTCAATGAGTGGTATAGATATAATCATTGATATACACTTCTAAATTTCTACCGTTATCAGTTATGACTTAATGGTATCTTATATAATATTATACAATTTAATTGGACCCAAAATTGTTCAACACATTTCTGTCCACAGATAAATCGCCAGGCATGTTTATTTGACTATACATTAATACAAATCTGTTATATCAGAATTGCCGTTCAAAACCATTAAATTATTTATGACAAAGTAAAGAAGAACATATAGTTACCATGCGCTGACACACATTTTTAACACTGTCACATTTTTTATCTGCCTGCCCAGAGTATACAAACTGTAGGTCAGTGGCTTTTGTTGGTTTATGCATGTGTCATATTCGTTTTTCGTACAATCAATTGTAATTGATCAAGCCATTGGTTTTCTAGTTTAAAATGTTTGCACTTTTTATTTCGGTGCCTTTTATAGATGACTATACGGTATGTGTTTTTCTCATTGTTGTAGGCCGTACGATGACCTGTTATTGCTTACATTAACTCTGGTGTACAGTTGTCTCATTGGCAATCATTCAACATCTCTTTATTGTTATAATGGTTAAGGGTTTTTTAGATAAACCTCCGCACCATATGGCTTCAACACTGTCATAGTATTAAAGTCCCTATTAGGAAAAAGCGTCCGAGTAATTATCATTTATTCTGTCTTTTTATAGGTCCACAAATCTTATTTAAAGAAATAATTTTATAATTTTACATACTTGATCCTGTTGTACAGTTATCATTATCTGTTGATCTTACAATACCATGTTTATTGGTAGCCTCTACACATATGATGTACGGTGTGTCTGGAGTTAAAGACTTAACTATATACTGTTTAGTCGATTCCGGGTTGGAATCCATGATCTCAGATGAATATTTTGTTTGTTTTGTCCTAATATTCAACCATGCCACCCTAAAGGATTGTTTAATTCCTCCGTTGAATCCTGGTCGCCATGATACAATCATTGATGTTATTTCACATGCCACTAAAATATTTGTTGGTTGCTTTGGTGGACCTAATAAATAAAGTAGTTCTGTATAAAATGTTCGTTTGATAGATTTATATGTATGGTAAACATATTACATTTATTCAAGGTAATGTTTTTAAAATATCATTTGCTAACTCAAAACTAATTTTTAGATGTTTTTGTTATTGAGAAATTATAATGCTGATTCAATCGATGCGAATTAGGGATTCTAGAATTGTATTTACACCCGCATTGGTGTCGTTTTTGTAAATCAAACACCCGGATGACAGACACTGTCTGAATTTAACAGCCGTTTATTGAATATCAGGTACGAACAAGTACAAAGTATACTTTCACTAGATAGTTTTCACACAACAATTTGCATTAGGCTTACAACCTTTATTGTCTAATTTATATGCATACTTCCCGTCTTCTACCATACTTTATGTTTAAGGAAAATATATACTTTCGTGATCATGCAAAATGTGAAGGTCGTCTCATTTCGTAATTGTTGAAATAATTTAGTTTTGGTGGAGGGAATAAAAAAGGTGCCATTGCTAAAACATTATTGTCATTTTGTGTTACGAGTCATTACTGACATCCAATGACCAGTAGTTGTTAACACCTTTGTCTCTCGTCATTGAAGGATATGTGTCTTTTTGAATTTTGACACATTACCTATTATTTATATTTCAAATTGCTCTTTGTAAGGTAAAACTATTTTTTCTAAAAAAAAAAATTGAAATGATGTCAAAAATTTGATCAAATGTGGAAAACCCAGTAAGTAGTTTCGATTATATATGAGAAAAGAACTCGTCTGGCAATTATCAAAAGGCGTCCATCACACAGACGATAAAGCAATGATAATTCAGTTGACATACCTTCGGGAATAATATTGTAAGTAAATGTCGCTTTACCTACATCATTCACAATTACGACTGAATACAACCCAAAATTAGTTGCAGTTAAATTATGTCTCGAAAAGCAGATATGATGATTGGTTACATTATATGTACTACAGTTGAAAGACGAATACACTGTTGTTTCTGGTGAATTTTCATCATGCTTAAATATCCATGAAGTAATGCCCATCGGAAATGCAATAATGTGTTGTGATATCGTAAGGTTTTCCCCGATTGCAAGTACTCTCGGATTTGGGGATCCATCGTCACCATTGTATCGCCTAGGGGAACCTGTAATATACAAAGTGTAAAACTCAAAAAATTATTTGCTTCTGAAACATGTTAAATTTCTTTATCACATTCATTTTTGAAAACGCATAGAGACTTCGGTAGGACGAAACATTGCAAGTATAGTGCCTTCAAACAATAATGAGAACAACAAGTATTCATTAAAAGAAATGCCTATTTTGATTTTTAATTATGAACAGATGTTAAAACAACGGTGTAATGGCGTCGAGATTTCCGAGAATTGACAACGCTTATATATTTGAAAAAAAAACACACATACATTGTTAGTCCTGCTTTACCTCGTATGTGTAATCTAGTCCACCTTGTTAGTTGTTTCGATTCATCTCACATGTTTTTGAAAAGAACTATATAAATAAAAACCCAAACAAATACCATTTTTAAAGACATTTTTACATTCACGGTTCTTTAATCTGTCTATACCTATATTTTGGCATTTCACAAGGTCATGTTTTTCTGTCTGTTTATGACGTCTGTACACTAAATCTTTTTGATGTTGGCTGTGTACTGATTGATATTTTAGTCAAAGATACATGATTCTTTTATTAGTTGTTATTGTGTTTTCAGTAACTGCTAGTACTTTCAGATCTGTATTTGTATATTTGCGTTTTTGTGCTTTGTATTATTCTGATGAGTTAAGCCCTTTTCATCTGAGTTAAATAATTGTTCGTATAGTATACTTTTACGCCAATGTTACAGGTGAATGGGAGGGTTTGGCGCCAGAAATATATTTAACCCCGCCACATTCTGTATGAGCATGTCCATACTCAGGAGCCTGGTATTCAGTGGTTGTTGTTTGTTCCTGTATAACATATTTGTTTTTCGTTTATTGTTTTGTAAAAAATCAGAACGTGAGTTTTCTCGTTTAATTTGTTTTACATTTATTATTTCGTGGCCTTTTATTACGGAAGCCCTGGTGTGCCATGTAAAAATAAAATTACAACTTGTGCGCACGAGTTACTAACTTGTGCGTACAAGTTATTATCTTGTGCGCACAAGTTACTAACTTGTGTGCACGAGTTGTACAACTTGTGCGCACAAGTTATATGTGTTCTAATTGACATGCGCTGATTTTGCTTAGAAGGCTTATGTATGGAACGCCGTAGCTGCCTAATGCGAACATATGTTTATATATGCACATTATTTTCAATATCTGCACATACTTTTTCTATATATGCACATACGTTTCCTATATATACACATAGTTTACTTTATATGCACATACCTTTCCTATATATGCACATATTTTATTTTATATGCACATACTTTTCCTATATATGCACATAGTTTACCTTATATGCACATACTTTTCCTATATATGCACATAGTTTACTTTATATGCGCATACTTTTTCTATATATATATATAAAAGCTCGCTAGACCACTCGACCAACTAGGCTCGACAAAAATCAAGCTTTCGGTGGCCGGGTGTTACCTTTCCTCGTCAGTTTTTATCTAGCGTCGTAACACAGTACATGATATATAAGGCATGACGATGGAATATTACAGATCAGCTGAATTATATATGAACATAGTTTACTTTATATGCACATACTTATTCTACATATGCACATACTTATTCTACATATGCACATACTTATTCTACATATGAACGTAGTTCTTCATGTGGATACTTTTTCTCAATATGAACATAGTTTTTCAATGTGAGATAACCATTCATATGATACTTTTCTGTTGTTTTTCAGACTGAAATAAGGGTCCCAATACCATAAGAAGAATGTTTATTAAGTATTTCTTAAGGATGTATGTTGCTCAGTTTAAAAATAACCAACTTTTAGAATCATTTGTATACTACTGCAAATTTTGTTTGGGTTGTATGATGGTATGGCGCTGTTGCCTTCATCTGTAGTCACTTGTTTTTCATGCCATAACTTTGTATTAGTCGATTTGTAATGGATTCTTACCACTAATGGCACGTTGGAACTGATTTTAGTGGTTGTTGTCCCAACTGTTCAGTGATAAAGATTCAAAAATTGTAAAAAAAAACATTTTATAAAACATAGTTTAAATTGCCTACTTCTTTACCAATTTTAATGGGTTTTTAAAGACTTCAGTATAGATCTGAAAATGTAAATTGTTTTCTACTATAATGATGTAGTAGGAGGGACCAATTAAAGACGGAGAAATTTAAATTTGTGTTTTAATGCCCCGCCGCTTGGTGAATGGGGTATTAAGTATTACCCTTGACCGTACATCTTTCCGTCGGTCCTTCCATCCGTCCATTTTTTTTTCGGCACTCTAACTTAAGTTTCCTTTTCCTTAATTTGATGAATCTCACACACAATGTTAAGAATCACAACAGGCAGAGTTCGAATTTGGGCAGTAATTCACTTTCTACAATTATGCCCCTTTATAACTTGGAAAATTGAAAAGCTTGAGCGGGGACATTCGTGTCCTCAGACACTTTCTTCTTTTATTGTAATTTTATGTTTTTTGTTAAAACACTAGTAGCAGCAGTATGCAATTTGCCTCTGTGTAAATAATCTATTAACAGAGAATGGAAAGTGATTTACTTAGTTTCTCTCTCGCCTGCGACAAAAGTCGCAGAGTGAGACATAGGTACTACTATCCAGCGACGGCGTAAACTATTTGTGTAGAGCTTTATATTTAGGAAGAAAGGAGACCTGGAGGCTTCATACTTTTGTATGTAGATACCTTATGTTTCGAAGTTTCCGTCTGTCATATGTCCATTGGCCTTGACCTAATTTAAATGGTACAGCGACTGCTTGAACAAAATTATAGTTTCTTTTTCATGTGAATTTCTCACTCTTTTTAACTGTTTACCAAACTTTGAATTTTTGAAATACTAAGGCTTCTCTACCTCAGGAATGGATAACCTTAGATGTATTTGTCAAAACTTTTAGGAATTTTTGGTCCTCAATGCTCTTCAACTTCGTTCTTTATTTGGCCTTTTAACTTCTTTTATTCAAGCGTCACTGATGAGTCTTTTGTCGACGAAACGCGCGTCTGGCGCAAATACAAAATGTCAATCCTGGTATCTATGATGAGTTTATTTGAGTAATAGGATTATAACTACATTTGGTATATGGGTTCCTTGCAATGTCCGTCAGACATGGTTCACCTGACTTTGGCCTCATTTAATGGATCAGTTTTCCAGGTTAAGATTATGTGATTAGGTCCGTTTCTCAGATGTTATAAGGCAGTAGGTCAACTATATGTGGTACATGTCAGTCTGGCAGGTTTTATCTGACCTTGACCTCATTTTCATGGTTCATTGGTCAATGTTACGTTTTCCTTGTTACGTCTGTTTCTTAGATACTATAATCAATAGGTTAACTATATTTGGTTCAAGGAATAATTGTAAGGTGTACATGTCTGTCTGTAATGCATCATCTGACCTTGACCTCATTTTCATGGTTCATTGGTCAATATTAAGTTTTCATGGTTTGGTTTGTTTCTTTGATACTATAAGCAAAAGGTCAACTATATGTCCACTCTTTTGTAAATAATACATGTTTGTCTGGAATATATTCTGTGATTAGGATTAGAGGAGGCAATTGGTCATTTATCACACTACAACTGAAAATGACCCATTAGAATAGAATTTTCTATAAAGAGTGTTAAAGAATGGCCCATTGAATTTCCGAATGGCATTAGAAAGTTGCCAATTATCAAAATTTTAATCACAATCCAAATGAAGATATGTCAAATGTATTTAACGAGGCTATACTTGCTCAAACTGTTCAGGGTTCTACATTTGTAGTCATATCAAGCTGGGCCCTTATGGGCATTTTATTAATTTGATAGGTAACTTTATATTACCTTAAAGAGACAAAAATATTGATAGGATCATGTGCTCATTTTCAAGTTATACACTTTTGAAAATTGGGGGCAGTGGGAGGGGGGAGGTTATGTTTCTCTTGAATTTTTATTACTTTGTATAGGCAAGTAATTAACTTTGTTAAAATATGAAAAAAATGACAAAGATGTTACAACATTTTCTCAAATGGTTCATTATCATGCATAAAACAATACCACAATGAGAAAATAGGGTGTTAGCATGCTAAATATTTTACAGCATTTAGGTGGATACAAACTGAGTATTTTGAAAAATGACAAAACAATCGAAACCATGACCAGCAAACAACCTTGAATTAATTTTATGCTTGCTAATGGTTTACATAGCTACTGAGATCAATTGATTAAATATAGATTTTTACATCTAACAGGTGGAAGAAGAGCAGGAATGTCAATGAGTAACAGAATGGAATTTGTGACAGGGTCATCAGAGGAGCCTTTTGGGTTTTGTAAAATAACCTTCAATTGAATTTGTTCCTGTTAGAGATGACCTTAGTTTCTTCCCAACAGCAAATACATGCTCAAATTCAATGATGCTACCACGACCATGTTCTGAACATAGTTACCCGCAGATGAAAAGCTATTTGACCTCTATGATTATGCATTTTTAAATAAAATGGAAAATGGAAAAATGATCAGATATACAACTTATGGTTTGGTGTAGATAAGGCAAACAAGATGTATTAGATTTGTCGAATTTAAATTATATAAAAAAAATATATTTAATTATCTGTTCCACATGAAATGTATACGCATTGAAAAGCTTTAAAAATGGTGAGAATATCATTAAGGGTATGACGTGCTGCAGTTCTGAATTATGATTTGCAAAATTAACCGTTCAATTTTTGTTTTCCGTCTACATTTTCAGAAAATTCGGATAAAGATGAGAGTGCGAAAATGAAAAAAAATGAAATTTTCCTAGTTATGATAGAGCATACCTGTAGAACAGCAAGTGACTTACTGCCCAAAATTGAACTCTGTCTGCGTGTTATAGTTTTTACCATTGTGTATGAGCATCATCAAATTAGGAAGAGGCAAAATTAAATTAGAGTGCACAAAAAAATGGACAGATGGAAGGACAGACGGTAAGACGGACGTTCAAGGGTATTACTTAATGCCCCATTCGACTAGCGGCGGGGCATTAA